TCCCTTGAACAAATTAAAGACACCCCAAAGATCAGCCTGAGCTCAGGATCATTCCCAACCCAGCCCAAGGTTCCCCCTGTACCAAACCAGAGACTCAGAGCACCCTTGACCCCTCCCAAGCCTGTAGTCCCCATGGAAATTCTACTTCCTAAATCTCTCATCAGTCTGACCCCTTCTCCCACTCCTCCTCCCCTAGTCCACACTGATGCCACCCTCCTCTCATCAGGATGTGACAATGGCCTCTTCTCTGGTTTCCCTGCCTCTTCCAAAACCACCATTCAGCAAAGGTATGGGAGGGCAGAATTTCCTAAAATGCAAGTCTGATCCCCCCACTCCCCCAGCTCCTAATCTCCCTGGAGCTTGAGTGTCAGCTCCCAGCTTCCCTTTCCCTCCTCAGCCCCTGACACTACCCACCCCATCCTTGCCCTTGATCCCCATCACTTGGGACTCACCAGCCACAGGTCCTGCAGCTCTGTGGGTGCTATGCCTCCCAGGACTCTCTTCTCTCTTGCTCTCCTGGCGAACACTGGACCTGTGGGACTCAGCCCAAAAGTCTCCCTCCCAAGGGGCCTTCCTGATCTCCCTGGGCTAAGTAAGCCAGGAACCCTACTTCCTGGAACTCTGTGCTCCCATAGTTTTCTATTTTTTGAACCCCAAATCACCCTGTTTTGTACTGTCTTGAGAGGACTTTGCCTTACTTGTTTCTATATACCCAGCACAGGGCCAGGCATACAGCAGGTGCTCAGTAAATGCTGAGTGCTTGAATGATTTGAACTGCAGAGGTCCAGGGGCACCCTCTCCACCAGGGAAGGTGTGTACCTGGGGTGGAGATATGTAGGGGCAGGCAAGGCTCAGGTTTGGGAGGGGCGGTGGGAGATTTGGGGCAGACATTTGATCCACCAGCCCCTCCCAGGGAGGTAGGAAGACAAGGTGAAGGAGGTGATCCCCGCCCTAATCCTCAGCCCCACTGGGGAGAGAGGAATGTGCCTCCTAGGGTCCAGCAGTGACCTGGGAAATGGGGGGTGGGGCTGGCCAGGGCCCAGTGGGTCCCTGTGGCCTGAAGCGCCTACACCCGCCCAACCCCCACCGAACCCAGCAAGCAGCTTCCTGCACACCATTCAACCCTCCTGAGGGTCTCCTCCCAGAAAACTTCCAGAGGGGATTCTCACCCTCAAACCCAACCCTGAGTTTGCAACCCTGCTTCTGGCCCTGTGCCGACACCCTGGGGAACAGACGTGAAGGCTAAGTAGGGGAAATTGCTGGTCGTTTTTTCTTCTTGAAAAGAAGGACCTTCACGAATCCCCTGTCCATCCAGCCACCACAGCAGATCCTTCTTCCTCCTCTGCTTGCTCACCTCCGAGGACTAAAGAGCTCCCTACCTGCACAGGCTGCCCATCTCATTGGAGAACAGCCCTGGCTTTAGATCTAGTGTGCCTTCCTGTCGTTCCCACAGAAACTCTGTCTGCTCCATCCTACAGACCCATTCCCCAGACCACCCTGAAACCCTCCTAGTGGCCCTGGACCCCCCGCTGCCCTACCACAGGTGCTTGAACGAGGACCAACAACCCAGAGGAGATGGAATCCTTCCCCGCCCAGGTCCCTCTGCTCCCTGCGACTCCCCAGAGGGCACTCCAGCCCCAGACACGTGAGGGCCCTGGAGGAAGTAGCCAATCATGAGGCAGGTCTGCCTCCCTCCCCTACGGGCCACAGCGCTGAACCACCTGCTCAGTCCACTGCGGGCCCCTCTGGAAATGAACCTGGACTGCAGGCTGTGCTGCCAGATTCTCATTTATTAGCCAAGTAGGACAAAGAACAGGTCACAACGTCACAGGCAGTCAGACAGACAGACAGAGGGGTACACGGGACAGAGTGTCATGCCGCACTCCGCAGGGGGTGGAGCAGGGGAGGGGGCACTTGAGTCTTGTTTTCTCAACTAACAGAATAAATAAATACAGTACACAGTGGTTTTGCCACGGGCTGGCACGACCTCTAAGCACAAAAGGTCACAAAACAGCTGGTTTGGAAAGCAGTCTGTACAACCCGCTGCTGCGGAGTTGGGGTGGGGGACCCAGGCCCGTGGACCATGCTCTGGGGAGGTGAGGAGGCGGGACACAGAGGCCTCGAGTGGGATGGAGAGGAGAGGAACGAGACCTTCCTGGGAAGGACAGTCAGAGCCTGACTCTCAGCCTGCAGGTGACCAGCCCGCTCCGGGAGAGGCTTCGGCCTCAGTCTCTGGTGATGTGGGACAGTCCCCAGCTCATAAGAGGTGCAGGTGCTGCTTACACATAAGCTCCCCTCTTGCTCTCTAACTGCTTTCGTTCACCGAGGCTGGTCCCCTAAACTAGGTTGAGATCTGCCCAGGGAAGGGGACCACATACACTTTCCTTGCCTTGTCTGGGCTGGCGGAACTGAATGAAGAAGCCTTGAAAAAGCTCTGAGGGAAGCTAGGCTGAGCCAGAACATGACTCCAGGGTGGACTTGCTCCTTGGGAAATCTGGGAGGCTTCTTGGGGGAGGTGGGCATGTCTAGAGCTACTGGATTCCTACATGCAGTGATAGTCATATGCCTCCAGGGACAGGCAAAAAGCTTCAGTCCTCAGCCCTGGGCTAGATGAGATCTCTTTCGTTTCAGAAACAGAACTTTCTGACCCCAGAGGATAAAACAGAAACCTCTTCTGTCCACTAGAGTTGCTCTCTCTGCCTTCCTGTCTCCCTGCCTGTCTCTCCTCTGATCTCCGGTGGCTGTTAGATTCACCTTCCAAATCCCAGATACCAAATCCTGGTTCAATTAATCCCCCTGTTCAGAAACCCTCACCTGCCTGCCTTTGTCCCTGCCACATCGAAGTGAGGACTTTAACCTGGATTCAAGAACCTTGGCCCCACCTCTCATGAAGCCAGCCACCATTTCCCCATCATCCACATAGCCTCACTCCATTGCTTTGTTCAAATAGCTTTCCTGGCCCAAGCTACCATCCCCCTCACTTTTTCCCCATTCAAAGTCTTCTCCATTTGCCCTGGCCCAGAACTCCTCACAGATCATGGGCATCGACTACTCTGCAAACCAGTCCTACCCGTAGACCCCCCTCTCCTCCCACTGGGAGAGAGACAAGCCTTAGGTATCTTTACCCTGGTTTTCAGATGCAGCTTCTCTAAGCAGGGGGTGGAAGCTTAGTGGTGAGCCACAAAGTGCTGGGTCTGAGGATCATGACCCAGAATCTGTGCAAGCCATTATTCTCCTCTTGCCCTGAGCCCTGAGCCTACATGAAGGCTTGGAGATGGGGTGCCCACAGAGGCTGGACTAACACTCAAGAAAAGCAGGATCAAATCCAGATTGTCTCAACTCAAAGGGACCCAATACACTTACTGGGAAAACTGAGACCCAGAGACTGTGGCCGTGCCCAGGGAGAGGCTTGTGCCTGCAATACCCTTTGCTCCACAGCTGTGCAACAATCATTCTCTAATTCAAACACTGTGCTTTGTGAGAGCCTTTTTGTGGTGGTTGTTAGATTAACTAAAAACCTCTGCCCTGCAAGGTTGAAAGCACAGATGTGTGGAATGTTAGAGCTGGATAGGATGTTACAGGCCCTCTAATCCAGGTAGGGAGTGGGCACAGGGGCTATGGGCTGACTCAAGGTCATACCGCTTTGAAAGGGAGTTTGCTGAGCTGGGTTGCTGGCCACAAATAGGAATACACCTTTCTGTGCCAGCGATTCGCTGGAAGCCCTTACTTCGACAGTGGGCTCTGAAGCAGGATGCCAGCTGAAGCCCTGAGACTCTGCATTGCCAATGATGTGATCAGGAGGTGGAGGACCCTCCCTCCTGGCTCAGCCACACCCTGCCACGGACACTAACTGTGGAACCTCAGGCTTGGGAGCAGAAGACCTTATTTCTCAAAGACACTTCTCTGAAAGCACCTGTGCCCTACTGCCTCCTGCCAACCAGGGAAGTTTTACCAGAGAGAGGTCTAGAGCCCTGTGGTCAGCCCTGGATGAATGCTGGCCCCGGGCTCCAGTCCCGGAGGTTTTATAGCCAGGGATGCTGTCCTTCTACCGTCTGCTTCAGCCTGACTCCTGCCTCCACTCCCCTCCGTCTCAATCTGGGCTGGGGATGGGGAGGGGGCGTCTCAAAGCTAGAAAAGACAGAGAACATGCCTTTCTAGATACAGGCCAGGGTCGGGGGTGGGAAATAGGGCCCCCTCCTGCCTGCCACTGCAGTGGCTACGGACTGGTACGTATCACCTCTACTGGAAGGAGAAGCTGCGTCAAGAGGGTGCGGGCGGGGAGGAGCCAGGAGATTGGGAAGAAGTGAAAGGAGAGGAACAGGAAGAAGCCAAAATGATTAAAACTGAAAAGCCATAACCCCAAACGAAACATAATTTGGGAACAGTCTACATCAACACAGCCAGCACCCAAGAAAGAAAGCAGGGGCAGGAAGAAGAGACACGGTGGGGAGATCCAGAGAGGGGAAGACAGAGGCTGGGGAGAGGAGGAGGAGGAAAGGGGAGACAGAGAGAGAGGAGGGAAGGCCAGAGTGAGACGCAGAAGCTGTAGGCAGAGCTGGGGGTGGCAGTGGAGAAGCGATGGAGCAGGGCAGGGGGCCTGGGACAGGCAGGTGCCTGAAAATATAGCTTTATATATTTATATTTATATCTCACATTCCACACAGCAACTTACTAGGGGAGGAAGCAGGGGATGGGAGGAGGCGACACTGAGGCAGGGGTCTGGCCAGCGAGAACCTCTCACTCCCCGAGGAAAGCTGGGGGCACTGGCCTCTCACCTTCTCCCCATTCGGCCTCTGTGAGATCCAAGCAGGGCCATGCAGAGGGTGCAGGTGTGGGCTTCACTGAGGGCTGGAGCTGGGGAGGTGGGGGGACAGGAAGCAGGACTCCAAGGCCCCAGGATCCCTGGGCTCATGGGGTAGCTCCCTGAGAGCCATGTTGGGATGAACCTGGGGCTGGGCTGGGGGCGCCCGAGAGCCCTGGCTGCAGCGGGAGGCCAGCAGTCAGTTAGGCAGCGTATCAAGTCCCAGGGATGCTGCATGCTGCTTGGCCCGAAGCCGCAGGTTCTCGATGCTTGTGGTTTTACTGTTCAGGGCGGCCGAGGCAGGTGCCAGGCCTGCAGGGGGCGCAGGCAGCAGTGGGGACCCCCACACGCCCTGGTGGGCAGCGGCGGCCGCTGACAGCGACTGGTAGTAGGACTGGCAGTGCAGTGATCCCAGCGGGGCCACGTTAACGCCCAGGTAGGGCACAGCAGCAGCGGCGGCGGCTGCAGCGGCAGCAGGGGCCGGGCCCCCCACTTCAAAGGAGGAGTAGTGCACCAGGTTGTTGGTGGCGGCCATGTGCTGGCGGAACTGCTCCTGCAGACGGAAGAGGCTCAGCGGGGAGGAGGAGTAGGAGTGGGAGGGGCCCAGGAGGCCAGCCCCCGGGGCTGCAGGCGTCAGGGCCAGGGTGCCCGGGGAATCTGCAAGCAGAGAATCAAGAACCAAGGACTCAGGACAAGAGCACTGGTCTGCCAGGAGGGGCTCCCCCTCGGCCTCGCCTCCCCCTTGACGCTGTAGACAAGACGAGCTGTGGCTGAAATCATACCCACCCATCTCAGCCAGGGCGTCCCCTGAAGCCACGGTGTCCCCAGAATCTGGGAGGGAGGGACCCAAGCTTCCTGACAGCATGGGCTCCGCCAGGGCCCTCATATCTGACGTCTTAGGGAGTCTCCTTTTCTTGTTTTGGTTTTTGTTGTTTGTTGGGTTTGGTAGAACAAAAGAGTTCTATTGACTCTCAAAATCTTTACAACAGAATCAGATTAACATGGGGAATGGCTGAGCCATAAGCAGTAATACAGAAGTGTCCCACTCCAAGACTCCTGTTCTTTCCAAGGGTTTGCCTCCCCTTTCCCTTTCCTGTCTGTGGTTCCCCTTCCCCTCCAGCTCTCAGCTCACAGCCCCTTCCCCTCCCTGCCTGGATGCAGGGTTTGTGACTGAGATAATGCTTCCTGCCAGAGCTCTGCTCCTTCAAAAAACACAGCCCGGAGTCTGCTACATTTGGGGATCTCTGGTACTCGTATAGCACTCACCCAATATGTACTGGTACATCTGTACTGTTGTTAAAATACTGGACTGATAAATAGCTTCTACCCTAAGCTCTTCAAGTATCCCTCCCCTGCCACACAGCCCCCCACCCCCACCCCCGCCCCCGCCAAATTCCCTTGACCTTGCCAGGATTCAGCGACTAAAGGGGGATCACCTGGCACGGACCTGCTATGGCCGTGTCCTTTCTCTGGGTCAGGGCCAGTGCCATGTGTCCAGGGTTAACTCTATCTCTGCTCTGACACCCCTGGCAGAGCCAGGCCCCTAGGCGGCTAGACCTGGCCATTCTCCCTAGGCGGGGCCCCAGACCAGCCATAGCCCCTGCCAAACCTCACCTGCCTTGGGGCTGCCCCTCTTGCAGCCCAGCCCCTTGCTCTCAGCCCCAGGGCTCTTCTCGGTCTTGGGATCCTCAGTCCCTGCCCGGGGGTCTTCCTCCCGGTCCAGCTGGTCTTCAGGGGCCGACTCACTGGCCGACTGCTCAGACAGGCTCAGGTGAAGCTCAGCAGGGGGGTCGCTGCTGGGCAAGTTGGGGGGCTGGTCAGTCTCCAGCTGGGTGTCTGGGGTTGGGGCCTCAGTCTTGCCTTCCCCATGGGATCCCTCAGCCTCCTTCTGCTTCTGGAGCTGCTCTTTCTGCAGGCTGCGCTGCTTCTTCCGGAACTTGGCCCTGCGGTTCTTGAACCACACCTAGGGACGGGGAGAGGAGCAGCAGGAATGGGAGGGGATGCAGTACAGTTGTGGAGCAGGGTGCTCCCCAAGGGGATGTGCAGGATAAGGTCGCCCCGCCCTCTGGGAAACACGCACCCACAATCCCTTCCCCAGCTCCCCTCCTGTCACTGTAGTCATTCATGGAGACACCAGGTGCAGTGTGAAATGTTGGCTCCTGGACAGTGGGAAGCCAGACTGATGGGCTGGTGCTTGTCTGCAAGGTCTAGCTGGGCCCTACCTGCACCCGGGCCTCAGGCAGGTTGGTGCACATGGCCAGCCTCTCACGCATCACCACGTCCGGGTAGTGAGTCTTCTGGAAGGTCTTTTCCAGGGCCTCGAGCTGCTGAGCCGTGAACGCTGTGCGGCTGCGACGCTGTTTGCGGTGCTGGGAGCCATAGCGGGCCTCCAAGATGATGTCTTGAAATGTACAGCCGTTGGAGGGCAAGGAGACGGGGCCCATTTAATTATGGGAAATAGGTTTTAAATCTTACCCTGCTCTGACCCACTGTGGTCCTGCCAGAGTTAGAACCTGGTCTCTTTCCCATGGAAATCACCCATGTCCTCTCCATGTAGCTGGATTTTCAAGATCACTCCACACTATCTTTCACTATCAGGCCCACTGAACTCTAATTCATCTCTAAGAATGGCTGTTAGGAATATGCCTGAGGGGGGATCTTCCTTATTTGAGGTGGGTGGGTGGGCGGGCTTTACACTAAAATCCATAAGTGAAAGTGAAAGTGAAGTCGCTCAGTCGAGTCCGACTCTTTGTGACCCTATGAACTGTAGCCTACCAGGCTCCTCCATCCATGGGATTCTCCAGGCAAGAATACTGGAGTGGGTTGCCATTTCCTTCTCCAGGGGATCTTCCCTACCCAGGGATCGAACCCAGGGATCTAACCCAGGTCTCCTGCATTGGAGGCAGACGCTTTAACCTATGAGCCACCAGGGAAGCCAAAATTCATAAAGTCCTAGAATAATAAGATATAATATTCTGAGAGTACATGATGCTGTCAATTTGGAAGTCCATGTCACAAAGGTTCTAGAGCCAATGACCCTTAGATTCTGGATACCAACAGAATACCGCCCTGACCATGAGAAGCCAGGCTGTAAGCTTGGGACCTATCTGCAAGGTCTTGTTAGCAGGAGTCTGATTAAGTAGATGGAATTCACTGGCTCTTGATCCTATGTCCTCTGGCTATGAATTTCATCATCCCAGTTGGCCTATGAGTCTCTGATGGTAGGACCTGAGACCTTGGTTTTATATCTTCTCAACAGAAAGGCTGGCTCTGGCAGGGCTGGCAGCCTCAGAAAGGCTGGTTGCATGCAGTCTTGGCCCTTCTAGCTGCTTTCTCCAGGAGGTAAGGACAAAGAGAGCAGGTACTAACCACCACCACAGGCTAGGAGAGGAGACAGGCCTGATAGACCACAGATTCCACAGTCCTGCCCAAGTGCTGAGAACGGAACCTCCCAGCATATATATCTGCCTGGGGTTGCTGTCTACCCTCCTGCTCTTCCCTGATAGCTCAGTTGGTAAAGTATCTGCCTGCAGTGCAGGAGACCTGGGTTCGATCCCTGGGTAGGGAAGATCCCCTGGAGAAGGAAATGGCAACCCACTCCAGTATTCTTGCCTGTAGAATCCCATGGACAGAGGAGCCTGGTGGGCTACTGTCCATGGGGTCACAAAGAGTCTGACATGACTGAGCAACTTTCACTTTCACACTCCTGCTCTTCTGCTTGACTAGTCCCAGGAGGATGGACAGTTAACTTCTCTTTCCCGGCCTCCCACCACCCATAAGAGAGCCCTGGACTATCTATGCTGAAGGGAACCCAAGCTGCGTCAGCCTTTGCACAGGGCCACCTTCACTTCAGGGACTGGAAAGTCAACTCAACACTCTAAACGAGGAAGAAGGAGCAACTGGGTCTCCAGGAAGCCTCAGACTTTGGGCTGCTCCTTCTTCAATGTAAAGAGGGAGCTCTGAACCCCTCACAAACCAGCACTAATCCCAACCTGGGCTGAGCCCCAAGCTGATGCTGGTTACACTGGGGAAGGGGAAGGAGAGAACCCCTCTCAGTGGAACCCTGGGTGCGGGAGTAACAGCTCAGCATCCTGCTGCTGGTTCCAGGGGCTGCAGGTGAGGGCAGGGGGTTGCCGCCTAGGAGACCAGGCTGTCTGCACCATCAGCAAAACCTCCTGGAAGTCAAGGCCTTCATACGAGGGCCCGCCTGGAGCTCGTGTGCCTCCTTCTTTAAGATTAGAGGGTTGGTGGGAGCACTGAATACTCCACTTCCTCTGTCCCTGACCTTTCCTCTCTGAGCCCTGGAACATGGTCACCACCAGGCTGGGCACAGGGAACTCACTCCAAACCAGAGAAGCAGCCATAGCCGGGCAGGCCCGCACACACACTGCCACACTGGAGACTGATGCTCATCCACAGAAGGTGACCAGGGGCTCGGTTTCATCCTCTGAGCCCTTCCCAGAGCCTTGCAGGGTCTAAAGTAGTAGAAGTGGCTGCCCCTCCCCTACCCAGACCTCACAGCTCATTGCATTTCTGTGCCTTTCTCATGCTAGTCCCTCTTCCTTGCCCTTTTAAGGCTGTTCTCCTGCCCCATGCTCTCCAGGAAGCCCTCCCTGACCGCACCAGCTGATCACGCTTATCTGGTCTTCCCCACCACTTGATCCTGGCCACATTCTTTCTGCTGTGCCCTTTCATAGCTATATGGGCACCTGGTATCCCTGGAAGTACCCTAAAGCCCTCCCAGGACCATCTGGCACAGGCCCAGAGCAGTTCATCTGCTGCTTGAGGTTTGGCCTGGGAGAGGATGGGGTGGGTGGCTTCACCTCTCAGGAACTCACACTCCCCACCCAAGCCATCAAATCCTTGCCACATTCACTGAGGCACTCTCACAGCAGAGCAACCATGGGTGAATGGGAGTCGGGGGGACAAGGCTGTAGCTCCCTCACGGGCGCTTCCCATAGGACCTGGATAATAACTTCCTCTGAGCACCTACCAGTCCCTGCTGAATACCCTACATGTGTTACCTCAAGTAACAGGCACACCATCCTATGGAATGGGCCCCACCAGGTTCCCTGTTTATAAACGGGAAGCTGAGGCTCAGAGAAGAGAGGAGAGCAGGCACACCCTACAATGATGGCAAGTCTGAGACTTCAAAGCTCAGATCTTTAGCCATAAGGTCCCATTCTAATCTCCCACCTCAGCCCTACCTAGATTTAGCCTCACTGAGCCTCCGTTTCCTTGTCCATACAATGGAGATAATAACCTCCCTTTACTGGAGTTGGATGGTTTAATGCACAGAGAGAAAGAGCAACTCATGCGGTGCCTAGCCACACAATCAGTGATCAAAATGTGGGCGCTGTTACAGAAGTGGCTCCCGGGGCACTCTGGCCACTTTCCAGCTGGAAGGCTCTGGGCTAGTCCCTTACCTCCTACCTCGGTCTCTCCACCTGTGAGAGGCTATTGGGCCCCTCCCTCAGAGCGCTGTTAAGGAAATCTGAAGGAAAGCACAGGCCAGGCCCAGGGCCCTGGCAAACATGGGTGCTCTGGATACGCACACAGATTTTGAATTGACATCTCCCTGTGCCATAAGTGACCTGGGTCCTCCTGAATTTCATTCCCAGTGCTCCCTCCTGCCTTCACCTTCCAAACAGAGCCTTGTCCCCCAGATCTCTCCTCCACCCTGCAGCCCCCGTCCCCACAAACGGCCCTTACCAGCCAGGCGCTCGGCCAGTGTGAGCGCATGCACCGAAGGCCGGTAGTCGGGGGCGTGCTGGGCCTGCTGGGCCGCCTGCTGGTGCAGGTTGTACATGGCGCTGAGCGAGTTCATGGCATGCAGCGAGTAGCCATTCACCCCGTAGTGCTGCATCACGGCATGTGCCTGCAGACGGGCGAGAGGGAGGGGACATGAGGCCATGTGGTCACACTCTACCCTGGGGGAGACACCACCCCTCGCCCAGACCTTGGATGCCCACCTCACCCCTGAGCTTCTGCCACCTCATGGGAAAGAGGCCCACCTTGCCCACAGCTAAGAGCGAGAGGGCTCCTGCCTCTATTTATTTATTCATTCAGCCACTCATTCATTGATTCATGCAGCAGGACTTGTGTAGGGCTTAATGCTCTGGGCTCTGGAGTCAGATTGCCTGAGCTGGACTCTCCACCCTGCCACCTGCAGGCTTTCTGGCTTTGAGTAAGTCACTTAACTTCCCTGACCTACAGTTTCTCCATCTGCAAAATGGGGTGAGTAATAGTACTTATTTCGTGGGGTTGTTGCAAGGATTAAGAGAAGCCTTTACAATAAACAGGGTTTGGTATATAGGGTATGCTTGAACACGTTAATCATTGGGATTCAACAATCTGTTGGCTACTTCATTCTTCATTCACCATCTTCGTTCTTCATCTCTTCATTAATCACCCAGGCACCTACTAATTTGCACCTCACACACATATTATTTGTTCAACAAAAAGCCAAGGAGGCTCACAGGGAGCCAAGTCCAGAGCTGGACTGGAGTGACTCCAGTCACTGGACTCAGTGAGGCATTTGCTCTGGTGAGATAATGGACTACAACCCTCATGTGCCACACAGCTGTAAGAACACGGTTACTATGACTGTCATATGCACACAGCCATTGCCTCCCTGTATTCTCACCATATGCCCAAGAAGCAAGCAGACCTAGAGCAAATGAACTCCATTTACAGATGAGTCTACTGAGGCTTGGAGAAAGAGCAGTGATATGTTGAGGCCACACAGACCATGCAGGGCCTCCTCCACCCCACAGATGAGGCTGCTCCTTCCAGCCTCATTCTTTGGCTGCCAAAAAATGCACATCAGAGAGTACATCCCTTCTGCTGAGGTGGCTCAGATCGGCACGAGGCTGCCAGGGCCCCACCAGCCCCAGGGCTCCTCCAGACCCTCCCAGTCCTTATGCCCACCAAATATTGGCCTGAAGTGTCAGTTTTGGAACATGGACCGTTTGACAAAAGAAAGACCATGTCCAGGTATTTCGGCTCCCTACACTCACTGAAGTGGACATATCACCAAACATCCATAGCACACACACATGTACACATGCACACACATACTTCATGCACAGATACACATATGCAGACACTCTTCACATAAGTAGTCATACTCACACACAAATTCATCAACAATCACAAATGCAATGTCAATATTCCCACAGTTCCACACATAGACATTCTCACAGATGCCTATCCACATAGCAGATGTATCTACACACAAACCTGACACTCATACACATTCATATATTACACATAATCATTCAGCAGAGACTCATTAAGCACCCACCTACTAAGCACCAAAGTCCTTGCCTTCATGGAATTTTTTTGGCCACACTGAGAGGCATATAGGATCTTAGTTCCCCGACCACAGATCAAATCCATGTCTTCTGCAGTGGAACTGCAGAGTCTTAACACTGGATCACCAGGGAAGTCCTGCCTTCATGGAATTTACCTCCCAAGCAGGGAAGGTTATAAAACCAATAAACCTATATAATAAAGTCAGACAGGAATAAGTACTCTGAAGAAAAACAGGGCAGAGGAGGAGCATATCAAGAGGAAAGGTGAGGCTATTTTAGAACGTATGGTCAGGAAAGGGCTCTCTGATATTCAAAATAAGCCACATGAATCTTATTGGGGTCGGGGGAGACTTTTCAGGTAAAAGGAACAGCAAGGACAAAGTCCCTGAGGAATGAACAACTTGGTGTGTATGTGGAACAGCAAGGAAACCAGGGTAGCTGGAGCTCAGAGGGTGAGGGGGTCAAGTGGATGAGACGAGGTGTGAGGGAGAGAAGGGGCCAGATCCCAGGGGGCTTCATGGCCCAAATAAGGAGTTTGAGTTTTATCCTGAGTATGATGGGAAGCTCCTGGACAGTCTTGAATAACATGATTTGTTGTTAAAAGCTCACTTTGCTGCTGTATGGAGATCAAACTGCAGAGGGATCAAGAAGAGAAGTGGAAAGGCCAGGCCACTGCAGAATCCAGCCCAGCAACCAAAGGGCCTTCCACTCGGGCAGGATGAGTGGAGATGGGGAGAAGTGGTTAGAGTCAGGATATGGTATGAAGGCAGAATTGACATGACTGCTAAAAGGTTAGTTTTAAGATGTGAGGAAAAGAGGGCAAAAAGATGACTCAAGTGGACTGGGCTATTGAGTGAAGATGAAATTAAGATACTTGCTCCTGGGAAAAGCTATGACAAACCCAGACAGCATGTTAAAAAGCAGAGGCATTAATTTGCCAACAAAGGTCTGAAAAGTCAAAGCTATGGTTTTTCCAGTAGTCATGTATGGATACGAAAGTTGGACCATAAGGCTGAGTGCCAAAGAATTGATGCTTTTGAACTGTGGTGTTGGAGAAGACACCTGAGAGTCCCTTGGACTGCAAGAAGATCAAGCCAGTACATCCTAAAGGAAATAGGCCCTGAATATTCATTGGAAGGACTGATGCTGAAGCTGAAACTCCAATACTTTGGCCACCTGATGCAAAGAGCCAACTCACTAGAAAAGATCCTGATACTGGGAAAGATTGAAGGCAGGAGAACAAGGAGACTAGAGGATGAGACGGTTGAATGTCATCACCAACTCAATGGACATCAGTTTGAGCAAGCTCCGGGAGTTGGTGAAGGACAGGGAAGCCTGGTATGCTGCACTCCATGGGGTGGCAAAGAGTCGGACACGACTGAGCCACTGAACAACAACTGAGTGAAGATGGATCTTTTCCCGAATTGTAAGCTCTCAGGGAGAAGCAGGTCTGGGAAGGGGTGGAGGAGAATGAAACCAGGCCTTGGGGGGACATCGTTGTTGCTGCTGTTTAGTCGCCAAGTCATGTCCAACTCTTTTGTGACCCCATAGACTGTAGCAAGCCAGGCCCCTCTGTCCATGGGATTTCCCAAGCAAGAATAATTTAGTGAGTTGATGTTTCCTTCTCCAGGGGAATCTTCCTGAACCAGGGATAGAATGCATGTCTCCTGCATTGGCAGGTGGATTCTTTACCACTGAGCCACCTGGGAAACCTTTTGGGGACATGATAGGTATAAAATATGGCTGACTTCCAAGTAAGAATGTTAGGATGGGGGCAGTTCCCTGGTGGTCCAGTGGTTAAGACTGTGTACTTCCATTGCAGGGGGCATGGTTCAATCTCTAGTTGGGAAACTAAGATCTCACAAACCGCACAGCACCACTAGAAAAGAAAAAAAAAAAGAATGTTAAATTGGTAACTGGATATACAAGTTGGGAGCTGAGGTTTGGGTTTATAGGTTTCTGAGTGGACACTCACACAAGACACCTAAAAATGACAGTTACTCACAGAATCCTACTCCATGCACCATAGACATGACCCCAAAGGCAGAGATCTAGGAGAAGAGAATTATGGTACAGAATACAATGTTTAACCATTTGTGTAACAGAATATACCATAAGCAAAGCTAAAAGGCAAACAACAAACCTGGGAGAGAACTTGCCATACATGACCTAGCAAATCTGACCAAAAAATAAATAGCACAACTAAAAACAAAAGAGAATACCCATAACATATAAAGAGCTCTTATATAGAAACAAAAAGATGGTCACCTTAATAAAAGATGAGCTAATAACTTCCCTGGCGGTCCAGCGGTTAAGAATACACCTGTCAATGTAGGGGACTCAGGTTCCATCCCTGGTTGGGGAACTAAGATCCCACATGCTTTGGGGAAACTAAGCTCACATACCGCAACTAGACCGCAATTACAGAGACTATACACCCTGGAACCCATTCTCTGAAATAAGAGAAGCCCACACACCACAACAAAGACCCAGCACAACCGAAATAAAAAATAAAACACAGGCTAAGTAAATGAGGAGACAACTAATTAAGGAAGAAAAATAGCTGTCTGATAGGTGACAAAAGAGCTCAGCCTTCCTTGTGACCAAAGAAATAAAAATAGAAACAATAAAATAAGAATTTTTACCAGTTTAGCAAATACAAAGAAAAACGATTACGCAGGGTTATTGAGGGGAGCGGGAAATGGTCCTTCTCCTACCTCACTGGCAAAAGAGCTCTTTTGTCCCTGCATCAAAAGCTTTTAGAGACAGCATCTCTGGACTCAACAATTCCATTTCCAGAAATTTATCCTTCAAGTATGCAGAGATATGGATATAAGAATATTTATGATGGTTCTGCTTATGATGGCAAACAACTGGAATCCTCACTGTCCATATACAGAGGATTAGTTCAGTAAATGAGGAAACAGTCACGAGCGCCACAGAAGACGGAGCCACGGTTTAAAACGATGTGTATCTGTATGTGCTGATGCTCACAGTATATTGTTGAGTGAAAGAAATAGGTAACAGTATGCATGCGGTGATCCCATTTCTGTAATGTATGTATATATAAATATGCAGAGGAAAGAAATATGGAAGTAACAGAGCTAACAGAGGTTATCTCTGGGAGTCAGCAGATGGGATTACAGGTGACCTTCACACTCATATTCTTTCCTTCTTTCCTTTTTTAAAAAAAATAATTATTTATTTATTTGACTGCATTGGGTGTGGCTCTCGGACTTAGCTGCCCCATAGCCTGTGGGATGTTAGTTCCCCAACCAGGGATAGAAGCCAAGTCCCCTGCATTGCAAGGTGGATTCCTAACCACTGGACCACTAGGGAAGTCCCCTTTCTTTTTTTTTTTGAGAGTGGGGATGGGGAGGCTTATCTTTGTGTTTCCAGGGATGTGGAAACGGAGCTGGTCTCCAAAATGTGTCACAAGGGCCACCTGGGAAAGAGGAACAAGGGTTTAGAAGTAATTTTATTCATCCCCCATCCCCCTGCCGGGCTGGAATGCCCCTCCCCGACCAAACTCAAGAGCTGTGTTGCCTTA